CAGAAAGGAGGCCATATTGGTAGAGACGTGATAAGGATATGAAGAATACTTCCGCTGCAAAAGCGAAAAGGAAAGGGGAGAGAGGATCCCCTTGTCGGAGTCCCCTCAAGGCTGGGAAGTAGCCTTTCGGTGTCCCATTGATGATAATGGAGAAGTGGGGATGAGAATAACATCCTCTCATCCAACTCCTCCATCGCTCTCTGAACCCCATTCTAACCATAGACTCTTCCAAGATGGACCAGTCTATGTGGTCATAGGCTTTCTCCCAGTCTATTTTGAAGATTATGCTTGGTTTCTTGGCTAAATGTCTTGTGCGAATGCACTCATTAGCCACCAAGACCCCATCTAAGATCTGCCTATCTTGGATGAAGGCTGATTGAGATGGAGAGATCACAAAAGGGAGGACCTTTTGTAGTCTAGAGGTGAGGACCTTAGCCAGTATTTTGTATGTCGAGTTAAGAAGGCTAATTGCGCGAAAGTCCTTGATTTCCTCTACCCCTTCAACTTTAGGAACTAGGGCTATGAAGGTGGCATTGATTGCTCTGTGAAGAATTCCTCAAAGAAATCCATGAAGTCAAGATGAAAGGTGCTCCAGAAAATTTTGAAGGGTACAATTGGGAAACCGTTTGGGTCAGGAGGGTTGTCTTTGGCAAGGGCATTAGGCTTCTCATTTCATTATTAAAAAGTAAAACATGGAGTTCCCATGTAGTCATAGGCAATTTGTGATGTTTCACTGATAACTATCTTCCGTTTGTACCAACTTATCATAGTAGCTGGGAAATGATACCAAAACAAGAGAGATCAGTTCTGGTATTCAAATGCAAATCTACCAATTGGAAGTTAATGACTTATTAAAAACAATGGAACTTTATGAGTTTGATAGAAGCTCTGAAATGGTAGCAAACCGGTAATTCACGAGATGCCATCTTTTGTATCTTTTTACAGCACTATTACACATAATATAAGCCAAATATTCGGAGAAAAAAGTCGCAAAATCTGTAAAACATATTTATTCCGATCAATGTTTATAATATACAATCAAATATTCTTTGAAGAAAGTGGCAAAACTAGTTCTGATTAATGTATCTAAACTCAGATCAGGTCTTGGACTCAACCTGGCCAAGCCAGGTAACTCGTCCAAGTCTGAGTAATATATTGGGTCTGAAAACCCCTAAAAAAATCCTAAAAAACTCAAAACATTTGCTAAATTTTTCTTTTTTATTTAAATGCCAAACAAAATTAAAACCACATCGTCGTCATCAAAGCCTTATCTCAACTAGTTGGAGTCAGCCTAAACTTAAAATCACATGAAAAGTCCAAATAAGCTGAAAAAGATGAAAAAACATAGATTTAAAGAAAATCGATCTACAGTTGAAAATAATTCAAAATCTGAAAAAAAGGAAATACAAAAATAGGCATTGACAAGAAAAACTCGAGAATAATCCTTACAAATCGATCTCACAACTTTATACAGTTTTTATTTTTTATTTTTAATATGCCCGAGTTGATCTTAGTACTTGGGGGGCAAGTAACTTGGCTGGGTCCACTAAAATTGGTTATGATATTCAAATGTAAATAGAGTTTTGCAACTGAGAGTTTAGCTGAGAATGCAAGAGCACACAAGCAGTGTATCATAAAGCGCTAGGCGGGTCCTAGGTAACTTGGGGGGTCCAGGCCGCCCAGCGCCTAGGCGGGCGCCCAAAACCTGGGCGGCTGCCCAGTTGAAAAAATGTAAAAAACATACCAAATTACCAATATACCATATTCCTAGTTGAAAAAAAAAAAATAGACATCGAGAAGAGAGTTTTGATAATCCATATTGTTAAAACAGTAAACTGTAAAACCATACAAGGGTACGATATAAAAGGCAAACACTCAACACAACAGAAATATACAGAAATTTAGAAAATATACAGTCTAACAATAGTTAACTGGCTCAACACAATAGTTAACAGACTCAACACGCAACGCTCAGCACCAAGAGGCAAGAGTCTTCAGTCGTCATCATGATCATCATCCTAGGGAAAGCCTCATCATATGCATCAGAGTCGAGGCCATCATCATCAGAGTCATCTCCCTCTTCAATATAACGCTCGTTCTTCTCTGTTTCTTCTAAATCTGCCTCTTCCTCCTCCTCTTCTTCTACCTTCCTCTTAGTAGTATGTGCAGTCTGTACAGATGAGGTCCTAGGAGTCTTGGCTATTCTACCCTTTATTTGTGATTCTCTGAACTCAAATATTGTATAATTTCCTCCTTGGTAGCCTCAAAAACATTTTTACACGGGGCAACATCCCCCTTAATATCGGCAAGGGTCTTTTTTAAACCAGTAAATGCCCCCATTATCTTTTCCATTATAATTACATTTAATACGATTTTTATCACTTGGATTTGGGTTATAACCATATTTCCAACCCGGATCACCACTCCGACTAGAACCTGGAGAAGATACTTTTATAGAACAAGGCTTATTTTCATCCTTTCCTAGTTCTTCAAAACTTAGAAAATGTCTAATCTCATCCCGAACTGCTTCAGGAACCTTTGTATAAGAAGCAACATTACCTCTAACACCAGCAAGGTGTTTTTTGAATTAGCTAATACCCCCATTGGTATCTTTTTCACAAAAATTACATCGTATACAATTTTTATCATTTAGTTTTGGGTTGTACCGATAATTCCAACTCGGATCACTTCATCTAAAAGTAGCAGAAATAGAAATAGATCGACGACAAGGATTTTGTTCTTGTTTTTGTTTTACTTAACTTATAAATTGTTTTATCTCCTCTTTGATAGCTTCAGGAACATTTTTACAAGGGGCAACATCCCCTTTAATACCGGCAAGATGTTTCTTAAACCAGTTTATGTCTCCTTTTGTATCTTTTTCACAAAAATTGCATCTAAAGCAATTTTTGTCGTTTGGATTCGGGTTGTATTCATATTTCCAACCCGGATCTCCACTCTGACTAACTCCTGAAGAAGATATCTCAAAATAAAACAAGCACTCTAAAAAATGCACTTACTTTGGTTGCTCGAACTCCAAACTTTGAGAAACACTTCAATGATTCGATCCAATGAAATGTAGTTTTTTGGAGGTTTCTTTCTCTCTAAAAAGGGTTCTTATGGGTTTAGGTTTCAAATGAACCTAAAACCCATCATTCTAAACTGTTATATCTTGAAAAAAACGAAAAAAAAAAAAAAACTTTTCCGCCTTTAAGCGAGGCACGAGCCCTCGGCGGCCGCCTAGGTCTAGGCTCTGGGCGGACGTCTAGGCGGGTTCCGTACCGCCTAGGCGGCCGCCCAGGGACGACCGCCTAGGCCTTCTGGACCTCCTAGGCGGCGGCCGCCTAAGCACTGGGTGGTCTGTTTTTTTGAACAATGCACACAAGCAGTGGGTAACTCAAATCAAGCGATATTCACAAGCCATGTCACAAACTCATTAGCAATCCATGAGTTTCCTTCTTCACGGTTCTATTTACATTGAATAGAGGAATGAAGAGCCATACATGTAATTACTCATATCAAAACACCAAACCACAAGCTATACAAGCTCAAAAATAAAAATAAAAATTCAAGACCTAACCAGAAATGGGGGGAGAGAAACTACCCAAAAGCCCTAATCTTTTGCAAAGAAAATCAACCTTGTAACTCACATAGGACAATTGAAGGCATTTCCCATTTTCACAGGAAAGAGCCCCAAAAGGGGCAAAACCTGAAATCAGGCTCCACAACTCGAGCACTAGAATGTCATCTCAGAACATCATAAAGAACCCTTGATTCAACATCAAAATCTTCATTTTCTGTCGTGTGAGGAAGAGACAGTGACACAAGAAAAGGGAGCAATTATCACAGCAAGGGTAGGGATTCTCAGCCGTGTGAGGAAGAGAGAGCGACACAATGTTAGGGCTTCTTCATCTCGAGGTCTATGGTTGCGATGTATTTTATGGCGGACGTGAAAATAGCTCAACAAATTGAAGTGAATGTATAATTTCGGGTCTATGACGGGATAGTGTTATCCAAAAAAATTTGGATTGACTTATTCCACCTCTTTGGGTGGAATAAGGTTATCAACATTTTTTAAAGGAAAACGTGGATTGACTAGTCTGCAGGATTATGCTATCCACGTGTGTTGTGCTACCCAAACAAGGGATAGGGACCCAATACCTGGATAACCTTATTCTGGATAGTCTAATCCAGGTACCCAAACGGACCCTTAGGGTGCAAGCGCACCTCCCTTAACACGTTATTTGACTTTCACAATCAATCACTTTTTCATTTTTTTGACTTTACAAGAATTTAAAGGAACTGCAAAACCATAATCTTAAAAAAGAATCTCAAATCTTTGTTTTTATAGGGGTTTTCTCTCTGTCTAGAAGGTAAAAAATGTTAGGATACCCCAAAGACCCTTAACCCGAGAGACCATATTTACCCCTGCCTAAGGGCCTATTCCTCCCTCAATTTGGGGCCATTTGTTTTGTTCCACCATGAGTCAACGCGCTAGGTGCTTGCCTCGGTGGTGCCTTGGCCACCCAGGCAGGTGCTTTAGAGGTGCTCCTCGTAGGCAAGGCAGGGTGCTTGGGAACTCGGCTTTGCCTCAAAGCACCACCGAAGCATTGATATAGGCCGTTTTTTAAAACACTTTTCTGAACTTGAATTTTGGTATTTTTTATTACATTGGATATAGGATGCTTCATAATGAACATTTTTCTGTTGTTTTGGTTCCCGAGGACAAATTCTCTATATCATGAAAATATTAATTTTTTTTTTGAAGGACAATTGACGCTATTTGTTTCAATGTGTTCTCGCTTCCTAGATAAAGTTCTCATTTTCAAGTATTCTGCAGTTTAAAGTGATGAAGCTTAACTTGTGTGCTTTTGGCCTCAATTGCTTTTACCCAATGATTTGATTTGATTAGTGATTTTTTTATCTCTGACGACCCTTAATTAGTTGGGATAGGGCTCGGATGATGATGAAGAATGATTTTTTATCTTTGAATTATTTGTAAGGACGGTGCTGCATTAGCATTGAGGAAACATGTGGAGGAAGAAGCTCGTGATCTTAGTGGGGAAGCTTTTTCCCGCTTTATGGATCAGCTTTATGGCTGTATATCTGCACTTATAGATGGTAATGATGTTGCTGAGAATTTAGGGGCATTGCGAGCTATTGACGTGTTGATTGATGTGAAACTTGGGGAAAGTGCTTCCAAGGTTTCAAAGTTTTCCAACTTCATAAAGGATGTCTTCAATTCAAAGCGTGATCCAGAAATCCTAATTCTTGCAAGTAAGGTGCTTGGCCACTTAGCAAGAGGTGGAGGTGCAATGACAGCAGATGAGGTGGAACGCCAGGTATGTCTTTATCTTTATTCATTTTAGGATAACAATCTATGCATCTAATTGTGAACATATTTGGTGATGAGCATTTATAAACCTTGTTTGGTGTTAAACCACATGGACAAATAATGGGCATATAGTAGGGCCAGCAGGAAATAAATATTGAGGTTTCTTTCTTTTAGGATTAACAGAAATGGTGAGAAAGAATTAAAAGAGTTGCACTTCAGAGTTGCGAATAAGTTAGAAGTCTTGAGAATATTAAGAATGTAAATTCATCTTGAAAACTTTTCTCTTGGAGCTGACAGTCACTCTGCCGGGTATTTAACAGTCATTATTGGAAAATGGCTGTGTCGATATTGTCGAGATGTTGATATTTAATTTTTGTTCCCTTATGTTGTAATAGCATTATCGATGTAACTTCATTTGTATTCAGGTGAAGAATGCTCTGGACTGGCTTACCGGGGAAAGAGTTGAGTATCGCCGCTTTGCAGCTGTCTTGATTCTTAAAGTAAGTGGCAAAATTCTTTTTATTTTTAATTTTTGTTCAAATCCAATTGTTTAGTTCAGCAATAAGAGGTCCACATTGTTTTTCTCTTGTTTTTACTATTTGGTTCATTTCAACTCCTTTTGTTCAACACTAGGGGGCCTAGCGTTTTTTCTTCTTTCATTTTAGTATTTGTTCATATCAAATTCTTGACTTGGTTTAATTACAAGAAAAGACAGATGCTTAGCTACTGCAATACCTAATCGTCGATTAAAGGGGGGAATAGTTCTTCAAGTTGCTCATATTCAACTTTCAAGCAATGCTTGCTCACTGAGGAAGTACCTTGAGAGTATGACTCAGATACTGCCTTTTAATGTCTAATAATGGCAAATCCTTGGTTTGTAATGATATTCATGAGTTTTTCAGGTTTGATCAAACTACTTCAATTATGTGAAGGTGTTTCAGGTACTATTCAGATAGGAATGATTCTTGTCATTCTTATGAGGTGTGAGAAGTAATCATTGACATGATATCTCCATCAGGGAGTTCTCCTTGTTCTATAAGTTAACTCCTAGACATTACAGCGTGATAAATATCAATAGATTCATACTTTTTGGGTTGTGATATAAAAGCAATTTTTCTTTGGAGCCAATGAAACCAAGAGATTTATGTTGTTAACTATCACTCATGTAGGTCTGTGTGTGCACATGCATGGATATCTAGCAATCAACACTTAATTTTTACTTTTACCAACAGCCACTTTATTTCTATGATGGCATTACTTTGCCCATCAGGGAAGTCTTCAAATGAAAAGTCTGTAAGTCCCACCGAGCAGTCCTCATAACAGCTAATTTACATTCGTTTTTCATTTTTTCCTGTTTTTTGAATCAGATTTAATTTTAGTTTCGTGCAGATCTTGTCCTTTTGAAGGTGGTTAATACAAACTTACGAACATAGAGAAGGCAGTCAAGCTTTTATGTGGCATTGCCGAGGCCTGAAGTCTTTATACTGGGCCTGGCAACAGGTTGGGTTTGGCCTGCGCCTGGTCTGGAGGACCATAGCTCTGGGCCTGGTAGCGGGCGCTGAACCAGCCTTTGAGAAGGGCCTGGCTGGGCCTCAATCTACCTGGCCTTCTCCTGTCCCTATGAGCCCCATATGCTTGGCCAGTCGCAGGTGTACCTGGGCTGGGCCACCTGGCTTATTGCCAGGCCCAATTCATACCATCACCACTACTAGCTTGCCACCTTTTGATCTGGATATATGCTAAACTTCTGGAAATCTTTGATATTTATTCTCTTATGATACATTGAAGGGGTTGTGCTTCTTAACTACATCATATATTTTGTGTCGTAATTACAGAAGGTGGCTGTGTGGGTGAACACCTCCCAGTCAAATGGGTTGGATGGTGATGGAGCCAGAGTGGGACATACAGATCAATTAGTGACTTTGGGGTGGAACCCACTCTCTCCATACCATCCAACCATTTGATAGGATGGTGATAACTTCATTATCATGTTGTCATTATTACCATATGGATCACATTGTAAAGTCCCTTTTTGTTTTTCCTTAGGGCTATCTGATCATCTAATGAGAAGTCTGAGTCTCTATTTGATAATAAGTATTGGTTATATATCTTTCTTTGTATGGTATTGTAATTGGTTTTCTTTCATTTTTTATGAGCATCTATGTGGATGATATGCTTCTGACCTGTTTTTCTGCAGGAAATGGCAGAAAATGCATCAACAGTTTTCAATGTTCATGTACCTGAGTTTGTGGATGCCATATGGGTTGCATTAAGGGACCCAACACTGGCAGTTCGGGAGCGGGCTGTAGAAGCATTGCGAGCTTGTCTACGTGTCATTGAGAAGCGTGAGACACGTTGGCGAGTTCAATGGTAGAATTTATTATGTTGTTGAGCCTTTTTTTCTTTCTGCAAATGGAAGTAGCATGAATGTTTTTGAGGTCAATAATAAACTAGGTTATACATGAGTTCATTTCTTTGGGAGCATTTAAATAACAAGACTTTCATCATTACAATACCTGATAGTTGCTGTTACTCTTCCATACATGTTTTATGGTTTTATCCTCCAGTTTAGGATACTATTTTCTTTCTTGAAAAACGAAATCTTCATTCGAGACAGATGATCCTACTTGCCTGGGTCACTACTCTTGGGACAGACCTAACATATTTTCAAAGAAAGAGTGATACTAGTTAATAAATAAAAGTTTGAGAATGAACTGAATAACCCAAGCTTTAATGATATAATTTTGCCCCATAGGCCCATTAGGGCAGTGTACAAGACTTTTCCTTGTAAATTTCACTTTACATCAATGTGAACTTATATCACAAGACATGGACTGAGGTTAATGTCTTGCTTTATGGTGAGGAGTCCTTTAATTTTATTGTATAGTCACTGGATTCACTATGCCCATGGTCTTTCATGGAAAATATAGCGAGAAGCCGAGACTTGTGTTAGAAAGTGATGCGGGGAGAAGGAGAAAGAAACTAATAAATCATAAAAAATAAAAGAAAAAATAAAGGCTGAGAGAACATACCCTCTCTCAGGTTATGCAATATCGTCCACTTTATAAAAGATCTCTTCAAAAGATCCAAAAACAAACTCCTTTATCTCTATTTCTTTTGATCTTATAGTTACATATTTATAAAAGAAAACAACCCTAAAATCTAACTTGCTTCTTAAAAAAACCTAATCAATATTAAATCTTAGCTCTTCATCTATTTAATATTTAGCTTCCAACTAACAGTTAAAAAAAAGAAAAAAGAAAATATTTCCCTTCCAACTATACCCCTCAATTCTCTACAACAAGAAAGACACAAATAACCCTGAAGGAAAATGGAAACTCAAAATAATCCAAACCTAAATTTCAATCTTCTAAAAAATAGCAAAATAAAAAAAATTAAAATCGTAATTACGTCAGGAAGCATTATTCTGCTGTTATTTAGTCGAGGAAGCTAAATATCTTGTGCGTTCTAGGGGAAACCTGGGTTTGCGTAAATTGCATTGGTTTCCGGGGAGTTGCTTTCAAATGTCGATAGCTTGTGATTGTATTTGTGTGTTCCATCTAAATTTCGTTTTTTATTGGAGACCATTTCTTTTTAAAGAAAAGAGATTTATTTGTACTATATAGAAGTAATGTATTGATTCATTTAATCTGTGGGTTTTTCTGATCACTATGCTTTTTTGTGTTATCTCTTTTGGTTCCTTTTCTCTAATATTCTAGTGCATGTCATTGCTATTGATCAGGTATTACCGTATGTTTGAAGCTACACAAGATGGCCTTGGTAAAAATGCATCAGTTCATAGCATACACGGTTCCTTACTTGCAGTTGGAGAGCTCTTGAGGTAGTTGGTCGTTTTAAATTTCTACTGTGTTTGCCAGTTCCAGTTTGCAGGAAATCATATCTTTCAATTGTTTTCATTAATGTTTGATTAGAAGTTCATATTCATTACATTTTTATAGTTGTTTGTAATCAAGCAAGCTAGTTACTAAACAATTGAATGCTTCATTTGTTGTCCCCATCCATGTATGCCCATCCATGGGGTATAGTTGATATATTCTTCGTTCGTTGGTGGGCACATGAAGCTGCGACTTATCTTTTTCATTAATGTATTATGGACTCATAATTATTACATTTCCTTGCTCCCTTGCAAAAAGATTGTTTTGTATGAGTGGCTTTAGACTTTTAAGCAATGATTCAAAACTTGTTAATTCCAACTCATATTGCGAGTTAATTGGAACCGGTTATGGGGGCCCTATAGTACATTAAACCGTCTTCCAACAGTGATTTGGACGGTTATGTGTAGGAATAAGGCGAATCCAAGGGACTTGGGCACGTCCAACAAGACACACTTTCATGTGGGGTGGGGTTGAAGAATCCGACCCTCCTCTCTTGTTCTTGTTTGGTTTCATGCAACTGCAGCTTCAGTAACCTGCAATTTGTTCCTAACCATATTTTTGTATCCTCTACCAAATCCAATGCTTAAGAGTCAAAAAACATTGGAAATTGAAATCGGGTTTTGCCAACCCTTCTTTTCTTAATCTCGTTACTCCTAGTTCCTTTCACCCCGAAAATTAGCCTCTGTGCTTATTTCTGTATTTTGTATTCAATCCAGAGCTTAGATTCAATAAAAAAACACTCTGAGCCTATTTTTGTGAATTGGAATATTAAAATAGGGTTTAGTTGAAATTTCAAGAGCTTTGAATTCACTAGAAAATTAACTTAATCCTTTTTAGCTTTTCATCATTTTTCATTTTGTATCATCATCATCATCATAGCCTTTTCCCAATTAATTGGGGTTCGCTGCACGAAACCTGTTCCACCATTTCAAGATTCATGATAGGTTTTAGCAAAATTTTATGTTGGCTGCCTACCTAACACAACTCAGCCCCTTTACCCGGGCATGGGATGGTAAAAGAAAAGTTTAAGGTCATCACCCTTCTTAGACTAGTATTAGAGAAATGTACTAAATTAAAAATTCTACTATCACATATATCACACATTTGTGTTTTTCTTTGCATTCTTTTATTTTTATGATTTTTCTAAAATTTTAAATTTATTTACCACATTGCATGTGACGAGCCCGCGTCATGACCACATCGACTCCACATCTTGCATTTGATAACATTATCACCCATAATGATATTTGACATGGTGGCAGTTGAGTAAGTTTTTGAAACATACAACTGATATAATATAAACAACGTTTTCATAATTTCAGTATTGGAGATCACATATAAGTTTAAAAAACCACACATTTAGAAAAAAGAAAAAAACAATCAAGGACCATTACCTCTAGTAATTTGGACAGCCAAGCCAAAGTCAGCGAGTTTCATCTTCCCCCATCTCATGACAATACTTGATAACCAAAGTTGTAAGAAGAATGTTCTTGGGCTTTATGTCATGGTACACAACCCCCATCTCGGGCTTCATTTTTCATTTTGTATAATGTTCCAAAATTGTCATTAGTTTTCCTTTTTTCTTGAGATTTTTTTGCATCTTTTTCTTCAATTTGGGCTAGATTTAGTGAGTCAAGTTGGGAATTGCCGAGCTGAATCACCCTGTGCAGTGGCTCAGTTCTGGTGGGAGTTTGAGGTTTAAATTACTGCTTTTAAACATCTTTATTTCTTCAGGAATACGGGGGAGTTTATGATGTCACGGTTTAAAGAGGTCACAGAAATTGTGTTCAAATACCGAGAACACCGAGATCGTCTTGTTCGCCTCAGTATAACATCATTGTTACCGCGTATCGCTCATTTCTTGCGTGACCGTTTTGTTACATCTCATTTAAAGGTAATTATATTGTTGTTTTCAACTTTATTTATTTATTTATTTTAATTTCTTTGATAGTTAAATTGGTATGGGTTTGTGAAAGAGATAGCATGCTCTATATTTTAATGGGCTAAGGACAAACCATGCTCTAGTGGGCAGTCACTGCCATTGAAACTATGGGCATTGATGGAGAGTGAGCGGGGTTTGCTAGAACATGAGATAACTCTCGGAGGGCCCTGCTGGCTCCCCATTGTCATCCGTCATTTCCATGGACGATGTTGATCAATTGGACTCTAGCTTTTCCCTAGTCATTGGATTATAGTCTACTTTGTGAAATGCATGGCTTCTTAAATCTGCTTTTTTTCTGGAGAGTGCCTACTACTGGGAATTATATTAAATTTGTTTTACCAAAGCGGATTTTATGTTGTTAAGTTGTGGTATTTTATCTTACATTTGAATCTGCATACCCTTCTTTAACGGCATGTAGCAGATGTGTATGGATCATATTCTCTCGGTGCTGCGTATCCCGGCAGAACGTGCTAGCGGGTTCGTTGCTCTAGGAGAAATGGCGGGTGTATTGGATGGAGAGCTTCTCAACTATTTGCCGACAATTACTTCCCATTTGCGTGATGCAGTATGTATATCCTGATATTTTTATTGCATAGCTTTCGAATGTCAATTAGAAGATATGTAACATCTGTGTTATCTTTAGATTGCACCTCGTAAAGGAAAACCTTCCCTTGAGGCCTTGGCATGTGTGGGGAGCCTTGCGAATGCAATGGGGCCTGCCATGGAACCTCATGTACGCAGTTTGCTGGATGTGATGTTTTCTGCTGGTCTTTCTCTCACCCTTGTCGATGCCCTGCAGCAAATAACACAAAGGTGCCTGGATACACTAAAAATTTTGTTAGACAGTGTTCTTATTTCTCAATAGTTCTTGTATTTGTTTGAATTTTGCCTGTACCATATATGCAAGCAAATATTAATGTTTCTTTGTGCCAGTATACCCTCATTGCTCCCTACTGTTCAAGATCGTTTGCTCAATTGTATTTCACTGGTCCTTTCAAAGGCTCGTCCTCAGCAGCAAAGGAATGGTGTACCAATTGCTCGGACCAATGTGGTGAATCTACCTCAGCATGCCTCAGATATTAGTGGTCCAGCATTGGTACAGCTTGCTTTACAAACTCTAGCTCGCTTTGATTTCAAGGTTTGTTTGGATGAAACACCTTTGCTTCCTATATTTGAAGAAACTGTTTTCCCCTCTTGTTTTTAGTGAAAGCTGTGTCTTGTAGGGTCATGAGCTTCTCGAATTTGCAATGGAAGCAGTTGTTCCTTTTATGGAAGATGAAGATGGTGGTACACGGAGAGATGCTGCTATATGCTGTTGTACATTAGTAGAGAACTCCTTGCTTTGTGACACTGTCTCCCCACAATTTAGTTCAAGTCGGGCAACCCGACCTGGTGGAAAGAAGAAGCGTCATCTTGTGGAGAAGGTTGGTCTTGAGATGGTTCATTACTTCTGTTAATGGTATACGGATCATTCATAGTTGTATTCAGCTTATTTTGTGTCTCATTTGAAAATTGTGAAATTAGTTTTCCTATGTTCTATTTTGTTGCCCCTCTTTAACTTTTTGAGATTTTTTTTTGAGAAACATTAATTTTATATAAATATAAGAGAAATACAAAGGTATCCAAAAATGGCAACCCACAATTAAGGTGCTCTGAAAATATCAAAAAAGGCAGCCCACAAGTTGGGTGCTTCGTATACAATCAACAAAAAGACTAGGGGGAGAGGAGAGAAGAGTGGGGAAAGAATGAAACAAGAGAGAAAGAGAGAGAGAAGGCGAGAGAGGAATGAGAGAAGAAAACAGAGAATACCCCCCAAGTACAATACAAATGTAAAAAGGTAAAAACAGAAAAGTAAAAATACAGGGCTGTGTTTAACTTTTTGAGATTGGCATCTGTTTTGTGGTTATGTTAATCAAATACTTTGGAGCATGCTTTCAATCTTTTTTTTTTTACTCTAAAATTTCATGATTGGTATAGCAGTTGTGCTTAGGTTACTGGTTTTTGGGATCATCTACAAGGGATTATCCCATAGTTATCGGAATCTCTCCACCGACCTCGATGGAAATCTCGATTCCAAAGAGGACGGAATCTCGATTTCATATGTGGATGAAACTTAGATCTATTTCAGTCTAAACACGATTCTTAAAAACTAGGAATCTCATTCCCAACGATTCTTAAGATAAGAATCTTCTAGCCAGCCGCGATTCTGGTTCCTAAAACGATTTGGGTTCCAATGCGTTTCCAACAACTATGGATTATCCATTCAATTGTTTGACTCAAATTCTGTTTATGTACCTTTCGCCTTTATACTCGGGTGCATATTCAAAATTCGTAATGGATTCTACCCATTCCTTGTCCTCCACTCTTAGCATATGTCGTTATCTTAATGTGTGTGCTCATCAATGCCTCCTCAAAATATTTTATTTCGACAGAAAGCCTCTTGAAATTTTATGTTGATGGTTTTATAGAGACCGGTTTTTCAAAGATATCTCAAATTGGGTCCCAAGATTGAATGCACTGGCTGCTGAAATGCTAATGCAACAAAAGTAGCCTGATTCGCTGCATACTAATAGACGCTGTTACTCTTTTCCTGCAGATTGTTGAGGAGCTTCTTGTTGCAGCTGTTGCGGATGCTGATGTCAGTGTTCGGCAATCAATCTTTGATTCACTACATGCAAATGGAGTTTTTGATGAATTTTTGGCACAGGCTGATAGTTTACATGCTATATTTGTTCCTCTTAATGATGAGGTATGGTTGTATGGTTTTTATCATGGTTAGGGTGAATTTTTTTTAATATATATTAAATGATTTTTTTAATTGCTTGTTTTTTGTAGTTTAGCTTGGTTTTACTTGGTTTGAACTCTTGATCTCTCTGTACAGATGGAGACTTGATATATTACTTATTTGATATTAGTTTTTGGTTTACCTGTACCTACCCTGCCAGATTGTTGCTCCTGTAAAGTAATGGGCACATTCCATTGCCCATAAGTACCGTTCTCTAAGTTTTGTTTCACTTTTGCTTTTGGAGATGGAAACGTTTATAGTTCTTTTGTCAATGGGAACTGGTCATGTGTCTCCATTGCTGATCCAAGTAGAAACATACTAGATGGTTAACATTGTTGGAATCAGGCTAGTAAAAGCTCTCCTCATTATGTGATTATCCATATAAGGTGGATTAATGCGGCAATCTTTCAATTGTTGTACTCTCTAATTCATCCTGATATTTCGTTGTAAGATAGGACTAGTAATGTTGTTGAGAGAGTATATAAAATGACTTCTAAATGATGTACCATATATTGGAAGTAATTCTGAAGTAACATTTGAAGGTTAAAAGCTTGCATTTCTTGCATAAAAAGTATATATCATTATAGTTGTATGTTCAGTTAATGAATTGCTCATTGTAAAAGTTTTATTTTCAGATCAATGAAAATATGGTCCCTTTTAATATTCATCAACAAACCATTGTGCCACGAGAGAATGCCATCAGTATGTTTTCTATAGGCATTGGATAATTTTAAAATCTGAACAGTGACGAATGAGATACAGATTTAGGGTCTTGATGCTCGGTATCAGCGTCCAAAACTCAGCCTACTTACTCCGACTTGGCACCTTGCTTAGCCGAGTAACTAGGTACAAAATACAAACTCTTGTTATATAGAAATAAAACATTAAATTTTTTTTTTACTAAATCAATGGCTAAGTATTTTATATATAACTTTGATGTTTTTGATGATGATTTGTGAGTTTTCCTTGTCATATGCTAACTTTTTTTATTTTTCCCGATTTTGAGTTTTTTCTGAATTGTTGCCAGCTATGAGTTTATTTTTTCCAACTTCCATCTTTTATATAGCTTGCCATCTTCTATGGACTTTTAATGTTGCTTATAGTTTAGTTGGCTTTTTACCCTCTTTTCTTTATTTTTAACGCATTTTTATTTTTTTTGTTTTTAACCCTTTTCTGGGCTGTATACTATCGGGTGAGTTCACTCAATACTTGATTGAGTTTCTCAGCTCGGGCAGGGCTTGAGTCCCTTGCCCGAAACCTTGCCCCGCATTACTTTAGGTTTACTAGACTGACTGTAATATGTAATAAAGCATCTGTTCTTCTGGTCCACGCTCTTTCATTTTTGAGTTTGTCATTGCTATTGCTGGTGAAGATATATGTTTGTTGCAGCAAGTATGCTGCATAAAGCATTTTCATTAATTCTTTTGCCTTGTGTTGCAGGATTTCACTGTGCGAGAGTTTGCTATCTCATTAGCTGGGAGGTTATCCGAAAGAAATCCAGCCTATGTCCTGCCAGCACTTCGTCGACATCTCATACAATTATTGACATACCTAGAGTACAGGTTTGGTTAAAATGTCAGAATTGCCTTAGTTTTGGTAATTTAGTTAAATATTGCTGTACGAGCTGTATGACCTATTTGCATTTGCCTTGTCACTGTTCTGATTTAATATCTCAGGTACTGATTTCTCTCATGATATTTGAACAGTGCAGATAGCAAATGCAGAGAAGAAAGTGCGAAGCTCTTGGGTTGCTTGATTCGCTCATGTGAAAGACTGATACTACCATATATAGCTCCAGCTCACAAGGTCCACTCAGCATTTTTCTTTTCTTTTCTTTTGTTTTTTATCATTTCCATGCTTTCACTTAGTGGTTTGTTAAAGATGATTACTGAAATATCTTTCTCGCATATGTTATTTTTCAGGCGTTAGTGGCAAAGCTATGTGATGGGACAGGGGTGAATGCTAATAACGGTGTCATAACTGGGGTTTTAAGAACTGTTGGGGAGCTCGTTAGAGTGGTAAGCTGAGTTCCTCTGCTATCATTTGGATTGTATTGGTTAAGCATTTATCTAGTTGATAATTTACTTGGTGGTGACTTTATATATGCAATTCTATGCCTTATAAGCCAAAATTTTCTTCTAGTCTGGTGCATCAGTTTGCAAAAGATCTGTGCTTAAATGCGCCATGGTGCAGTCTTATTCATGTTCTTAATATTGTTTTGTGTTGTGGTCCGAAGTCTAATAGCCTCGCAATGTGAATTTTGTCATTAAAGATAGAGAATGTATGGAACAGGAAAACACAAAATCTCTATTTTTAAGTTAGGTCCTCTCTATTTTTAAGTTAGGTTTTCTTGAAAATCGTTTTAGGGATTGTTTGATCTGCTCCAGCTATTCATGAGTAGATCGTGTTTTTCTTCCCCTTGTAATTGGAAAATGGACAACTCTTTGCCCTACTCGAAAAAAAATTCTTTTTCCCCTAGTTGTAAATAACCTTGACTGTCAGTGTGGTTGTGGGAGCAACCGAACTGGCCCATATATATATTTTTGCAAGAGCTTTTTCCTGAGGCAGTAAATCACTTCTTTGAATTTGTGTTTTGGTGATAGGGTGGTTTTGCAATGAGGCCGTACCTTAGTGAACTAATGCCCCTCATGGTTGAGGCCCTCTTGGATGGAGCTGCTGTGTTTAAACGGGAAGCGGCTGTTGCAACTCTGGGTCAGGTCGTACAAAGCACTGGGTGAGCACCCCTCTTTCCTTCTCTTTACTGTTTATTATCATCAAACATCGTCATCATCTAACTTTTTTCAGTTATGTAAGGAAAGTTATATGACATTTGTTTAGTTATGAAACAAGGCTGACTTAGTTGAATTGAAATTTGGAAAAACATAAATGGTTGTCTTGTTACTGATCACTTGATGTATTCCACTATTTCTCCATTACTGAGTATTTGCTCCTATACCAATGATTGTAGCTAACCTGCTTTCAATGAATAAAGATACTTTTATATACATTATCGCTTATAGCACTAACTCAGGGAAACGTTTTTTGAATGCCTCTCCATAACCTATTTGTTGCTTCTATCTGGAGTCATTTGGAAGAGTTAGGAATGATAATTGTGTGATTGTACAAGGGCTAAAAAAAATTCACGTCAGAACTGATTTTCTGAACATTCTATAAATTGTAGGCCATTCTAATATTATAGTATGAAACTAGGAAACGTGTCCGAACCACAATCATTCATATAGAAGGACTGAATGACCAGGGAAAAGTGTATTCTCAAACAAATTATGTCAGGTGATCTTGAACCTGGGTGTTGGAGAAACAACTGAAGAGAGATAAGATCTGACCATTATCATGAGGCCAAATGTCCAGTCTTGATCGCTGGAGGTGAGGGGTCTGAATATTGAGTCAAGGGCAGCTTACATCTCACAAAGACCTCACACTCCCTTTCCCTGAGGGCTCTCCTGAAAGGGCGGCCATGCTACCCCTCTTCCCCTCCAGTATAAAAGAATGTTCTAGCACAGGATCGTAACTACAAAAGCTTTGGGATTTTGGAAATATCCAAAGTTCTTTTCTCTGTGGAGTGGTACTTATATGGCAATACGTCATCTTTGAGGATGAAAGTTGATCAAAGTGGCAACAGTAGTCTGAGGGAATCCAGTCTTGGAGGGATCTGCTGCTACCATGTCGACACAACCTTTAAAGTGTTACATGCGCCTGGCTTCGATAGTCAATGCTAAAATAGTTGAGGCTTTGGCCTTTCATAATAATCCTTGTTGAGGGTGTTTCTGTCACTGATGTCAGATGGAATAGTATAAAGAGTTAATTGTCCCTCTGGGAAATTTTTCCCCAAGCGAATCAGTTAGTTGTTTTCGTTAATTTTATTTTGTCATGAACTTACATTGTCATCAGGAACAACTGGGTAGATTGTAGTTATTTATGGGATATTCCTGGTGGTTTTTTTTATTATTTAAAAAGGAAATCTATTTTTATGTGCAAGGATGGACTGAGCTGAGTACGGTTCAAGGGTTGGAGATGATCATAATTGCATAAAAATAGATGTCAATAGCAGTACTGGTTAAAAAAAAAAGAAATGTGAACAGTGGGAATAGATATTAAGACTTATGTATTTCTTTTGACCCGTAACAGGGTTTCATCACGTTGCACTACGTGCAGACTTACAAGTTGTATACTTGCCATTAGAGTAAGGGGATTCTCTTATTTTGCTCTCATGGTTTTCTTGTCAGATGCTGATTCATGCTATATCTGCCTATTCTGCTACATAAATAATTGATCTTAGTTGAAATACTATTTTATTGTATCGGCATGACATGCTATTTCTTTTACACGCATGAAGCTCACTTTGAAGGTGCATAATTAGGGCTTCTGTTTCCTAGGGAAATAAGTCATGAAGGGCCTCCCATAATGCTGCCGCTGTTTGTAAATTGATTACTTGAGGAATAAGTTCTTTTGGAAGAGTGGAACAAATCCAAGTAATGAGGTTCTTGTTCGTTGATACGCAATCACCATAAGTGGGATTGGATTGAACAACTTTCTTAGTTGTTTTGTCTTCACTAATCTCTTTTTTTTGTAAGAAACTCAATGGGATGCAACCATCAAAGAACCCCAATGACCACTGGCCTCTTATAAAAGTTTGAACTAAACCTTTCCAAGTAAAATAGTTTGAGGCGTTGAGTTTAACAAGTATGTATTGAGAATTAGGAAGACCAATATAAGTAGAAGAAGAAAACAAAGCCATTGTTAAGAGAATATGAAAGAGCAATAAAGCTAAAGATTAAAGGAAGAAGAAAGAAGGGAAAGAAACTCCTGTTTAGTTTTGATGAGCATCATCATCAAAGCTTTTTCCGAACTAATTGGGGTAGACTAAACGAATCCTGGTCCGCCATTCTGCTGTATTAAGGGCTATACCCTAAGTGAGGCCATAAGTTCCTATATCTTTACTCACTACTTCCAACTATATCCTTTTGGGCATATCCCTTGCCCTTTTTGAGCCTTCCACTTGAACTAACTCGCACCTCCTAATGGGTGCTATGCTGGGTCTGCGCTACACATGGCCTGCCCACCTAGGTCAACTCTCTCATCTTATTGCCTATTGGTGCCACACCTAATTCTTTTCAGATGTATTCATTTCAAATTCAATCTCTTCTTGTCTTGCCACTTATCCATCTCAACATTCTCATCTTCGCTACACTCGTTCTATGGTTATATTATTTTTTGATCGCTTAACATTTTGCCCCATAGAGCAAAGCTGGTCTCACAGCTGTTCTCCTTCAAACCAGCTGAACTTGCCCTTCAGGTGGTTTCACAACTTAGTTGTGATGAGTAAGAGAGAAAAAAAACAGTTAGTGTTTTGAATTAGATTTTGAGAACCAAGGAGAACAACAATTAGGATATGCATTTTTTTTGAAGATAGAAATAGTTTGAGAAGAGCAGTATTATAAAATTTTGCCACATCTTTTTATGAATCTTGAACCTATGTTATATGCTCATGCTAGGGCGTTTGCTATAAGTTACGTGCTGTATCATAGAAATGATTAGAACTTAGAAGAATATAAAATGCTAAAAATATAATAAGGCTAAACTTATGGCATATGATGTTCTATACAATAAATTGTGGACACGATAAGGTAAAAAAAAGGTCTTAAAACTAAAAAAAATAAGAGAGAAGAAGTATAGCTATCTAGATCATATTAAATGCATTAAGAGTTATGTTCAGATGGTCTTGGTGAAGGATGACGACGTCAACGAAAGGTAGAGAATTTATTTTAAAAAAATGTTAAATAGAAAACACTATAGGATCAAAATATTAGGAGGAACCTTCGACATAAATGGGGTCACAGGCTATAGATGCATTTGTGGGATTAGGATATCTGAAGTGAAAGACGTTTTGAGAAAGATGAAGATAGGAAAAGCTTTAGGACCAGATGGTGTCTTGATAGAGGTTTTGAAGTACATCTGAGAGATTGGCCAATTCTGGCTCACTAAGCTATTCAGCAAGATGTTGAGAACAAAAATAAGCCAGATGGATGGAGAAAAAGTATTGTAGTACCTATTTATAAGAGCAAAGAAAACATACAAAATTATACAAACTATCGAGGAATCAAACTTATGAGCCACACTATGAAACTGTGGGAGAGAGTGATTAAGCTAACATTAAGGCATGAGATGAGTGTATCAGAAAATAAGTTTGGTTTTATGCGAGAGAGGTCAACAATTGAGGCAATTTTACTACTTAGGCCACTGGTTGAGAAGTTTAGGTAGAATAAAAAATAGCTCCGTTTGGTCTTTATTCATTTAGAGAAAGCATACGATACGGTACTTAGAGATTTAATTTGGTGGTTGGAAACGAGAAGAGTCTCTAGAGTATATATTGACATAGTGAGAGATATGTAGGATGGAGCTCTTAGCGTGAGGGCAACTAGTAGATAAACAACTGCTTTTTCAGTGACAGTAGCCTTACACAGGGCTTCGCATTAAGTTCATATCTCGTTGTTTTGGTTATAGACGAGTTAATTAGGCATCAATAGGGATGAGGTACCTTGGTGTATGTTGTTTGCGAATGACATAGTTTTGATTGACCAGACTAGAGGAGATGTCAACGTGAAATTAGAACTTTGGAGGGTTGCTCTAGATTATAAAGGTTTTAAAATTAGCCAGACTAAGACATAATATATGGAATGCGAGTTTAGTATTTACAGGAGTAGAGAGGAAGTAGTTAGATTGATGGCCAAGAAATATTTAAAATATATTATTTTCGATATCTTGGTCGATAATTCAGGAGAATCGCGGGGGATTGAGGAAGATCTTGCACATAAAATTAGAATTGTGTTGGCCAAGTGGAGTTGTGCATTAAAAATTTTATGTGATCGTCGCATACCAATGGAACTGAAAGGGAGGTTCTATAGGACAACTATAAGACTGACATTGGAATGAATACATATGAGGGAACTTAGGGGTGGCTCCAATAGACGATAAGATGACAACGTATGCCTAATACAACACTAGTTAGGAAGGGCAATTTGGTTCATATGGAAGGCTCTAAAAGGGTTAGGGATGGCCCTAGAGACATGGATGGAAGTAGTGAGAAGTTATATGGTAACTTATGGTCTGACTGAGGGTATGACACGTGATAAAGAAGAATGGCAGAATAGGATTCATGTAGCTTACCCCAAGTAGTTGGTATAAGGCTTAGATGATGATAATTTGCGTTTTATATTAGACGAAGAGAGAATCAAGAGTTTTATGATTGAAATATGAGGCTTTGAAAGAAAGAGCAATTGCATGAACTGTACTATGAATATTAGTTGCCTAAAAATAAAGGAAATTTGAAAGAGAAAGCTTAGGGTTTAGAGAGGGAGGATGAGGATGGTGGAATAGAGGGTAAAGATAAAAAAAACGTAAGGGTTTAGAAGAGTGGGATAATGAATCTTTTATGAAGAAAATATGAGTTACCTTGATTAAAGTTGATCATGCCGAGAGCATATTCAAATTGGCTTGGATACCATGAAAAATATAGAGAAGAGAAAAGAAGCACCCAATATTCTTCCATGAAAACACACAATAGGGCAATGTCATAAGTCCTATAATATATATATATATATATATATATATATATATATATATATATATATACTACTAGTAGTAGTACGTAACGTTCGTACGTTAAGTAACTAAGTATAATACTACACGACAGTACACGAACTAACCGTACGTACGTACGTACG